AGAGAGAGAGATAGATAGAGAGAGAGAGATAGAGAGAGAGATAGAGAGAGAGAAGAGAGAGAGAGAGAGAGAGAGAGAGAGAAAAGAAAAGAAAAATAATTGAACAAAATCTTGAAAATGTAAGCCTTCATTGGGAACTAGATTTACAGATGATGCCTTGTTTCCCTCAAAAGTTCCAAGATAAGGGGTAAGGGGAAGGTCAAAACCCATCTAAAAGGCTCAAAAATTCATGTGCCAAACAGATTATTTGGATAAAAAACAAATAGACAAACAAGCTGTATGATTTTAATAATATATGAGTGCTTAGACCAGGAGAGACTGAAACTGACACTTCTCACTGAACACATTAATTTGTTTGAAGGATGTTCTGTCATGTTAGCAAGAATAATTTATTACCAGTGGATGTCTTTAAGAGAGTATCATCCATGACACTATTGTCATATGCCACTGCACTTATATGAACAAATAGTTCTCAAGAGTAGACTCTCAAAAAAAAAAAAAGTTCTTAAGAGTGGAAGGCTCACCATGAGGTAGTCGTAACATACCTTTCAGCTATTCCTGAATAAACATCTGCAGGCTTTTCCCCAGCTACCAGGTTCACAGCAATTGCACCCAACTGGTTTTTCTCATTCAAACACACATAGGAGTCAGAAGTAATACAAACCAGATAAATAATATAAGTAACCCACTAATAAAAATTGCTGACAAGAATTTACACGCACAAACAATAAACAAAAAGGAGAAAATTCATCACCTTGTCTCTCCCTAAGGCTGCATAATGCTGCAAACCATTACAAGAACCATCCTGGAAGCAAAATATCAGAAGAGAATATCATCTCAAATATTGGTCGTGTCAAAGGATCACCTTTTCTCAAAAATACAATAAGAACACAAAGATTGACTTATAGATTAACTATTATTGATCCCATCTAAATCGGATACAGTTATGGCATAGGGCCTATGAGATACATACACGTCATATTTCCTCCATATCATATACTAATGCTCCAAGTGCTGCATGACCCACTTGAAGTAACTCAGTTTGGGCTCACAGTACAAATCAACCCACCAATGACTTTATGACCAATTGACTTGTCATGAACGCTCACCCCCATCAAATGAACAGGGAGCGGAGTGCTTGTTACTGTTAAACTAGTTCAGATAAAGAGGCAAGCCCCACTTGGTCATAGACCTTATTTTCAAAAGGAATGGGGGGGGGGGGAACAAGAAGCATTTCCCATGCAAGATCACCCATGCAAGATCACCAGTAACGATTATAAATTGAGAGATCATGGCTATATAATTTCACTAGGGGTGGGAATGGGTAAGGTCGTGTCTAGGTCGACCTAAACCAGGCCCCAAACCAGCTAGGTCTAAGTTGGACCCAGATCCGACCTGGACCCCGATAGGTTCCGGGTCAATAAATAAAAAACATTAAAAAATTATTAGTATTATTTATATGTGTATTATTTTTATGTGATTTATATACTATATAATTAGTATTATTTATATGTGATTTATACTAATATCAATGTTTTAAAATGCGGGATGCGGCCCTGATGCGGTGGGGGCCCGATGCAGCCCGGATGCAGGTGCATCGCGATGATGCGGTCAATAAATGTAAAGAAATTCTAAAAATTGTAAAAAATAAGTTAATACATAGAAAAAAATATGAAGGTGATATATGTGATAGTAGGTATTTTAGTTTAATGATTAACTTCAAAACTATTAGCTGTCATAGATTCTGTATCCAGTTATCCACCCATATAAGTATTTCCACAGAGCAAGCATATCACACAATTTCTATCTTTGGAATTTTTTAGTTTTGCATATTTCTAAGCCGGATCCTTATTACTAGAAGATTGAGAAGAAGACATTGGTCCAAAAATATGTATAATAGTAATATTGTACAAGGAAAAAAAATTTACCGACTCTGTGAAGTACTGCTCGATTTCTTTACGACTTCTGAAACCCTCGATTTTTTATCACAAATTCACCCTAACATCTCCGAATCAACAATCAAAAGCATCCAATGAACATCCAAGTATCAAACAACCACCAAATCGAAGATTTCGATGAAAAAATAAATTCTGCCTAAATTTTCTTTTACCTCGATTTGATGCATAAAAAGCCACAAAAGTGGCTGAAAATCTTCGTTTAGGGCCCCTAATATTCTCCCAAACAGTTTCCCTAACATTTGGATGGTCAAAAAGACCATTTTGCCCTTCCCCAAGGGCAAAACAGGAAAAAAATTTGGCAAACACTGTAGCAATGGGATGCGGTGCGATGCGGCCTATGCGGGATGCAGCTACGATGCGACCTGATGCGGCGCATATGCGACCGCATCAGTTAAGCGCATATGCACCAGTTTCTGATGCAGATGCGAGCGCATCCCGCATGATGCGACCACATTTTAAAACACTGACTAATATATTAGGGTCGGTCAGGTCAATGCCAAGTGCACCCAAAACCGACAGGGACCCAGTCAAGTCAATATTTTTCATAACTCTCATGCCTCCAACTCATCAATGAAAAAAAAAAAAATAGTCGAAGGGAAGAGAGAGAAACCTTCTCCTTAGAATACCTTTGAGCTTCCAGCCAGCAGATAATATATAATAGTATATTTTATTGAAAATTATGCCATATAATGTATAAAATATATAACGAAATAATAGTTGATTATGTAAAATAATATATTATTATAATAAAAAGAAATAGTGCATCTAAAATATTCAGGTTGGGTCGGGTCGAGTCAACTCAGACCTGGACTCGACTCAACCTAATGGCGGGTCCCTACTTCTGGACCCGAACCACTGGGTCCAAAAATAGGACCCAGATCCAGACCCAAGTCGGGTCGATCCATGGGGTAGGCAGGTCGACCCAGCCCATTGCCCACCCCTAAATTTCACTGGAGGGTTGTTTTTATATTTTTCATTACTCTTATTTGCTTTCAAGGATTTATCTAGTTATGCTACCCTTCTTTAATTGATGCATTAGTTCCCTTTCCATCGACTTCTTTTCCTTCTCTTAATTAATGCTTTTGTTCACTTCCATTTATCATTCATAAAAAGACCTAAATCCCTTGCCAAAATTCCTTGCATTCACAAAGGTACACCACAATTCTACCAGTTTGACAATTTTGAATATCTATGGCATCCAGCTTACATTGATTCCCTTAAATTGCCAACTTTACAAATGCAGAAGGCATAGGAAGATAAGAGGCATCCTAACTATGCATATCATAAACCTTATGTAACATGCACTTTTAAGTCCTCTACTCAACTCAATATTAAAAGGATTTAACTACAAGCATCAGTTTTCCAAAAAACGTTGGGTGGCGCCTAGGAGGCCTAGGGGGTCTAGGCCGCCCAGCGCCTAGGCAGCCTGGAGGTCTAGGGGCATCAAATAATTCTGTTTTAGATCATATTCATGCATTTTTTTAATCCAAACTAAAGAACACCAAAAATACCCCAACGGATTGGTATTTTTGCACGTAGGTGGGTGCAGTCCCCTGGGCGCCTGCCTAGACAGAGTACTAGGCGGGCGCCTCGGTTCCATAGGCTGGTGCCCAAGGAAAGCTAGCTTAGTTGGTCCGCCCAGGCTTGGGTGATGCGCCTAAGCCCCCCTAGCCCGTCAACACGGCCGCCTAGGCACTGGGCAGACCACTTTTTGAATTAATGACAAGCACTATTCATAAAGTCGGACTTAGTTGGCACAACTTTCCCAAGGCAAGTCATCTCAAATGGGGTCCAAATGTTTTTGAGAAATTTAGACAAATCACGTTTTATTTTGGAGGTGCGTATTAGTTCAAGTGGAATGACTGAAAAGGCCAAGGGAAAGGCCCAAAAGGACGCGGTTAGAAGTAGTTCAAAAAGATATGGAGACTTATGGCCTCACTAAGAATATGGCCTTTAATAGAGCAGAATAAAAAACCAGGATTCATGTAGCCGACCCCAATTAATTGGAAAAATGCTAAAATGATGATGAAGATGATGACAATGTTTTATTTTGGAAATCAAAAAATAATCCCATACATTTCATATTTTACACTCAAATCCCACTTTTTGAGAGCATAAAGTGTATTTTTTTCATACATTAGATTAAGCTCAAATTTGGTATGTCCATACTTCTCAGCATTACACACCTATAAAAAATATATTAGAAAATTAATTCAAAAATAAATAACCAAATTACTCCTACAATGTTCAGGACTTATTACCCTTACAATATTCAAGACCAAAATACCCCTAATTTTATTTATTTCAAATTATTTTTCAATATTTTTAAAGGTGATTGATGGTGAGAAGTATGAAAACTCCAAATTTCATCTTAATTTGATGTATAGAAAAAAAATTAAAGTTAAAACACACTATTTGCTCTCAAAAACTCGTGTTGGGATACCCGTAACACAAAACTTGGTTTTACCCAAGTCGACATAACTCTGGTGAATCACTAGGAAGTCTCAAATAAGTTTCTAAATCAACTTTCTTAACCATGAAACTTTCCATAAAAACCTGAAGTTTTCAGACTCGGAGTTGTTTTTTTCCTTTCAATTATTTTAAGCATTTCCACATCTGGGCTAAGGATATCTGATCAAGTCAACTCGCCCAAGTCATGAATCACCTATGTCTTGGCTCGATCCAAGTCAAACAGCACATTCAACTTCTTTAACCATGTTTGAGCACACACACATTTTTTATAATCAAACCAAAGGTGAATTTGATTGAAAAGAAACCTGTAAGTACAAGCTGAAGCACAAGACAAATACCTTTTAACATAGAAAGCTCAAAGGAAAATACCTGATGAACAGGCATATGTGAAATAGTTGTATCTGGCGAAGAGCTTCTCAAGGCTTCAGAAAGATTGACACAAGCTGCTAAACACTGAAATGGGTCTTCGGCACCAAGCCACCACCGTCCACCTTCCAATGGCCTATCGGCCGAATCAAATATGTCTTCCAAATGGTTCTCAACAAACTCTAGACGACCATCATAGGATAATTTGTCCACACCACCTGCATATAGATTTGCAAGATGTATCTTCAACCAACGCAATCCTGATTTCCCAAGTGGGCGCCCCTCTGCAAACTCTAGAATCCCTCTACAGAGATCTGAACCAAGATGGTTCAGGTATGGATGCATGGGATACGCGCGACCTCGAAAATCTAGGTTATGGGGATAGTGGAAGCCTTCTTCATCCTTCATTCTCCTGGCCACCTACTCCAAAACCAGAACTGTTTAGTTTCTGATAATTTCATGAAAACAAGATGAAACTGAAAAAGGATCTCCCCAAATTTAAGGTGAATTAAGTTTCTCAAAATAAAAGAGAAAAATTAACATATAAATGGAAGTGAGTGGGAAGAATCAAAACTTAGTCCGGTCACCGAACATAACCAAACTAGTTTCTCGTCCCATGCCTTGCAGGATTTGGAGTTTGTGAGTGTCTTGGTTACAGAAGATCAGACGGGGGTAACACCTAGGCTTTAAGTAGAATTAATCAATTTCAAATAAGACTCTTGGACTTCAGGAATATCAATGTCATTTGCAGTAAGTTTCAATTTTCTTGAGATAATCTAGATCCACAGAAGTCCCAGACTTTATGAAAATTAATTCTAGTGAAGTCTTATGTTCTTATTTATTAGGACTCTATAAGCTTTCAATACCACATGTAAGCTTCTTGAGTATGGTGATGTGTGTAGTACACACATGCTCACCATGCTCTATAACATAGCATAGCCTATATACAAGATTTATTATTTCAAACAGTCATCGTCACCTTATGTTTTATTATGTTTTGTTAGTAAAGACAAGGAATGCTCAATATGCATATAATATGGGCAGCCACAAATTGATGGAACATTACATTTGCTTTTTATGGCTAATGATGGAATGTTACATGGGGATGATAAGGACGAAAAATCCTTACATTAAGTTTAAGTTCTGTATCGCACCGCTGAGAATGCAGTTCACTGTTTTTCTTCCTTGCCCCTTTGACAAGCCACTTCCACTCCCGAATTTTTGCTTCATCCTCTGTGTCTGGCTTCTCGGGTATGGCTACCTAGCATCCCATGCAAACAATATTGAAGATATTATTAACATCTCCTGAATCTGTTAAGAACCTCTTCCTTGTAACTTCTTTGAAACTTCCATTCTCTTCATTGATTTTTTATAGTTTGAATTCAGTTTTATGATGAGAACATTAAAGTGGGCTCAAATTAAGAATCTTGATTTAACAAAAAGTTTCATTTCAAAAAAATTTCACCAATATATTTCCATTAAAAAATTGTACTAAGAAAACACGAGCAATGTAATCCAATAAAAAAAGTAATCTCTCATAACAACCATATATCTCAAAATAATTGGTAGAGTTAAGAGGAAGAGTATCCAATGGAAAATCTTATTTGTCTCAAAACCAAGAGGATCATTATAGAGAGCAAGAGAGAGAAAGAGAGAGAGAGATTAGTCACAATTAAATATTTACATAGCTAGAAATTCAGGGGTAAGGTTTAAGTATTTTGTTGCTTTCCTTTTGCATATAGAAGTTTGATTAACTTCACCTTTACGCATTTTGTTTATTTAATGGATGTATACAACACAACATTTTAGATGGAGTACAGTTTCACATTTTTTTAGTGTTTGTGATTTTATTAACTGCTATCCTATACTGAGGGTCTTTTTTTTCTTCTAAGAGTAATCCTATACCTTGGGGTCATAGTTCCTGTTATTTGCTAATGTAGTTCTTATGCTTCTTCTAAAGGTATTCCTATACCTTCAGTCACAATTCTTGTTATTTGCCATTATAGTTCTTATGTTTAGTATTGCTTTTGTTTCATGGTATGCTCCCCATAAATCCATCACATGTTTTGTATCGTGATAGCAGAGCATTGTTGTTGTTTTTAATGAAAACTTAGATAAAAGCTTGTCAAGTATTACCCTAAATGATACGAGATGAGGACATAAATACCATTCAATGATTTTAATGTATCGATACAATAACTGCAAATCACAATTTTATCATGTTATCTTTACATATCCAATTTTTTTGCTCCATTTTTTTTTTTTTGGAGCCAAATGCAAAATATTTATGAATTCTTTTAACTTAGCTAATTTTTGGCCATCCGTACTTTTGACATTATTTTTTGCCTCCGACTTTTTGGAACAAAACCGATTTATTACTGGTGTTTTGGTTTGCCGATATTGTTATTCCCCAATTAGCTAACCATGATCATACATGATGTAACATTCAGAATAAGAAGAACCTAAGTAGGGAAAGCCTATTACAATCTAATGGACTATTGGATAATAAATTGGGTCATTACTATCCCTTGAAATGATGGATGGTGATGGAGAGAGGGACCCATTATAGGGGTCAGCTCCAGTTCCGATGGGCCCCACTTTCTCACCATTCACCATCCATGTGACCATTTCAATGGACTGTGATGGCACTGTTGACTATCTCAACTGAGTAATTGGCTAAATTGTACTAGGAACCTTTTGGAAAATCAACCAAATCCTCAAGAATATGGTAAACTTCTGGTGAATGAATTATGCATATAGATTTCAACTTTTCCTTTTCATAATTATATTACTAAACTTACATCTTCACGGTCAACCAAGTCAGCAAGGCGCCCTCCATCAGCCCATATTCTGTCAATCACACCAAGTACTCTCTTATTCACGCGCCATTTAGTAGTGCCAAGAGTATCAAGGGCCTGAACACCAGGTTTCATTAATATAACTATGCAAGCAAACAGAGCTCTATACTTCTATAGGCAAAAAGTTCATTAAACTAAGTAAGTCAACAACAAAAAGGAAAGAACAAAATCATATATTTACCCTTTTTTATTGGAAAAAAGTTCCGCAAATGGAATAGTACAGAAATGGCAAAGCATGAAGAAAAATAGAATGTAAAAAACATAGACTCAAAAGCAGAACTAAACATGAAAATGAAAGATTCGAACCTCATAAACTTTCAGCAACTGCTTCCTAGGAGCATGTTTAATTGCATAGCGCTGCTGTCTTGCTCCATGAATGCGCATAACATAGGAAGGCAAGAACAAATGTCCTCCTCTATCATACCTTTGAGGTCCAAAATTTCATGCAATTAGTGAGGAACCAATGAACTATATAAGGTTCACAATTACCCTGTGCTTGTTTCCTTAACAGGCTCAACTAGATTCTAGTTCTGTAAAGCTTTTTAAACTACATATGTACAATAAACATCAAAAACCATACCCCGTCCATTTGACTGGTGGCACTAACATTGGCATGTAAGGAATGACCATGTGTCTGGCCTGTACAAGCAAGTGGAAAGGCACAGACAAACATAAGTTCATTTGACTATTGTATGACATTGATCCCTTCTCACATCAAGATTCCATAAAAAACACTTTTTGCATGCACAACACACTTGAATAATAACATATACAAGGCATCAGAAAACACTCTTGCATGAAATAGTTAAAAACTCCATATTTCTCTTCCACCATTAACATTTCATCAAATTAAAATGTGGAACTATTCACGACGTGAGATAAATAACTTTGTACACCCTCTATGTGCAAGCTATGATAATCAAATGTCTAAAATTCGCTGGAGGCAGTCAAATGATGTACAGGCACTAGTTTTGTTTTGACTATCACTACCAACATACTAATTCCACTAATGCTATACACGAATTTTGAAAACCGAATCGTACAAGAAACAAAGTAGTTATCGATGGTTCCCCACTTCAAGGTACTAAACTACAGCTTAGCCAGATATCAATTGGCAAATCAATACGCCAAACTCTCCATAATTGTTAATTAGACTAAAAGCAAATTTGAAGAAAAAATTAAAAAATTCTTAAGTGATAGAGAGACATGCAAATAATTGACAAGGTCAACCGGAAAGCCGATTAGTACTTACAGTTTTCTCCAGCCCCTTACAGATTAACGGGTCACATTCGATAACCCCATACCTTCGGCGAATTTTCCTGATGCACAAGGTAGAAAATTTATTGTGATAATTTAAGGGGCATCCTTCGGGGTATCAAAATATTCCTTCTACAACTGACACATTAGTTTTTGCATGAAAGAAAAAAGATATAAAATGGAAAAAAGAGAGAACTGATAAAGATATCAAACCAAACAGACAAAATCTTACTGGTCATTTTTTGTTACAGTTTTCAGTATGTGCCTGAAGGCAGGTCTTATATCAGGTGGACCCTCTGCAGATTGATCAACAGGAGGTTGTACGTAGGCAGTTTCTATCAACAACTCAATGAGACGACTTCCAACCTGCAATACAAGTCCCATGCTAAAATATTGTAGATAAATTGTACATAGAAATCATAAGAAGTTAACATAACTTATCACGAAAAAAAAAGGAGAGCAATTTAACCTTCTCATTTAACAAGTGAGCAAGAAACATACCTTAGCATGGATATCGATACCCCACGGCTTTGCATCATCTTGCCCCTTCACTATCTTCCTCACTTGATGCAGCTTTTGCTTTTTCATCAAATTTGTGACCCGTTTCCTGAGACTCTCTTTTTCTTTGTCGCCCTCATTAGGCTCTTCCCCGTCTAACTTCTTCTCTTTGTCAGATTTCTTCTTTGTTTTTTCAAAAAATCTATGAATTTTAACCTGGAACCATGTAATTAAAATATATATGTCAACCAGCAGAGTTGATCGTCTTGGGTTCAAAAAAAAAAAAACGCTTGTTTTCTTGACAAAGGACCAAAAAGCATGAAAACAAGGAGAAAATGTTATAGAACACAGTAATTCAAAGGAAACATAAGCATTGATGAGCCAAACAGATACGTAAATATGGATAAATGGTTCTTTTCCGTCAATCATGAACCAGTATTAGCATCCACAGAAGTGCATGGCAATTAAGAAATATTTTTTGGTGGACCCAAATGTATAAGTAATAAGAAAGAAAGCCACTAAATAAGCCTCAAAACGGAGGTAAAAATAAAGGAACACTTGTGATTGAAGGTTTGGATAAGACTAAAAATGACCAGTCTTGATCATGGAACGTTGAATCTAAATTCGAATCCAAAGCATACAGAGCAGAGAAGTCTACGAACAAGTAGCCTTTAAGTTCTTTCAACATGAACCACATTAATTTATTTCATGAAACCTAAACAACCACAAATATTCAGAAAAACCAGAAACAAAATACTATCTCATCTTTGGAAACAGGCTTGGGTCAAGAAAGTAGAGGTTAGGTTTTCATAGCCCAATGTCTCAAGTTCCATTCCTATGTAACCTTGTCAAAAAAATAAAAAAATACTATATCATTTTTTTCCATTTTCATAATTAACAAATTATATGCCGTAACCTCAACAGTTCTATTGAAATATAACACTGCCCATCTTACATGTTTACAAAGAAAACAAAGCTGCAACGATTCAATTATAATGATAACGTGCAGCTGAACAAGAACATGATATAAAAGACTAAAATTTCTACGAAAATGACCTCTAGGCATTCAATCACAAAGGCAGGACGAAAATACGGCAGAATAACATAATTCTAACTTAACCAAAACAACAGAAGAAAGTAGTAAACTAAAAAGATAATTCCAGCTCGAATCACAATACACAGAGGTAACCAACCTCTTGCTCAATGGCCTCACCAATCTGACAAGCTGCCTGGACAAGTCTAGTGGACCCATTATCAGTTCCAGTCATCAACAAACCCATCAATTTATGCATGGTTATAACAGACATCATATCAGCAGGCAGTTGCATAAAGTATGGAGCATAAGCCCCCTTGTTCTTCCCAGCCTTATATGAAGCTTGCTCTGAAGCTATAATATCTCGTAATGGCTCAAACCAACCAAGAAAGAGAGACTTCATGTAAGGCAAATTGGGTGCCAACTTATGCTCACACATATCCATCATAAGCTCTCTGTATTCCTTTGCAGCTTGATCCCAAGCTTCAGTCTCGATTTTCACTTGACGCGTTCTCAAAGCCAAGTACTTTGCCTTTCCCATTACTCCATCTTTATATCCATTCTTTGGCTTCAATTTTTCTCTCTCTTCTCTTATAGCCCCATTAGAATTATACCCGTTTGTTGGCAAAACCAAATGGGTTTCCTCTGATCCAGAAGAACAGTCCTCATCGATATCAGTTGATACAACTGCCTCAGCAGCATTGGCAAAACCCTTTAAAGAACATCCTCTGAGAAAGAATGGATCCCTTCTGCCATTAAAGCAATTGAAGAAAACCGGATTTTTGAGGCCATTTCCCATCTTTCCATCTCTATCCTGCAACTCTCCACCAAATTGAGAGTTACAGCGAGAACCCAACTCGAAATTTCTCATTTTTAAGCCAATGGAGCGATCAAAAGGTGCAGATTCACCGAGAGATGATGAATCTTGCGCTTTGCTCCAAAAAACCAAAGTGGGTAGCAAAGAAGATCGAGTTATTGAAGTTGGGTTGGCTGAAAACGCCCTCTTCCCTGAAATTCTCCACATATTTCGATACTTTTTTGACGGTTTACGGTGGAGAGATTGGGTTAAAAGATCAGGCGGAGCTAAAGGAAGAGATTGGGTTAAAAGATCATGAAGAGAAGGCGACACTTGTGCACATCAATCGCAGTCGTAGAGAGAGAATAGATAAAGAGAAGAAGTAAAATGCTCATGAAATCGGGAGAGAGAAGGAATAAGAACAAGAACCAGTGGGAGAGAGACAATGCAGCCGCCTTAAACCCCCCATAAACCCTCTCTCTCTACTTGTTCATCGTTTGGGGTTCACGTTTGTGGGGAAATGATAGGGCAACCTATCCTTGACTTGTTTACTAATGACTAAAACACCCTATATATTCTTTTTTTTAAAAGTTATTATAGAAGTTGTAAGGCGCAATTCAAAAATCCCGTGGGGCTAGACGATTTAATGTTGGAGAACATTCTCATCTCATCTTTGAGATGCATGGATATAAATATAAAATAATTTTTAATTTGAAAAATATTTTATGTTTTAACAAGTTATCTAAGTTAACCATTTTTACAATTTATATGTACATATCCATACATTCTTTTTGTACTATTTATCAAATTTTAAGCTTCACAATTATGGATAAAAATATATTTTAAAAAAATTATAAGGTTTTCGGCACCAAAGCTAATCTCCAAGAAAATTTTAAAAAGTTGCTTAAAAATTATCTAGTTTCGGCACCAAAACTACATCTCCAAACAAATTCTAGAGGTGTGTCTGACTTTTATAGTTTAAGGAGGCGCCTCATGCGTACTACACCCTGTGTTTTTACTTGTTGGCTATAATCGCCCTCACTCTCCGTGTCTTTAAACAAGGGTTGATATTTCCTTCGATTCTAATTCTTCGTGGAAGGCCTTTATTGCGGAGCGGTAATTCCCAAAATTTGAATTTTTTGTACTCCCTTGGGAGCAACTTGTGTAATTGGTATTTCAGGCAAAATATTAACTTATCTTACTTTTAGGACTCGAAATTTTGTAGATATTACTTACTCTAAGCTTAAAAATTTACTTACTACCTAGCGACTAACCTTAAAAAATTCAATACAAAACGTATAAACTGCAAGAATAAAACCACTCCTAAAGTAATGTCCAAATTTTAGGTGCTTAAGTACTCAAAATCCCTTTATTTTTATGTTTTTTTTTTCTTTTTTTGTTTTTTAGGTAATTCAGTAAGGATGATGAACTCCTACCATTTTATTTTTTTTAAATCGTTAGTGGCTTTTTAATGCGTTAGGTGAGAATGGAAACTAAAGGGAGCACAAATAGTGCTACCACCGCTACCCCAACCCCATTCTCAAAAAAATGGCAAGTCAATAGGGATTTGGTCTCCTACCATTTGATGATAATAGAGTCAAAGATCTCATCATGGAGCTCGGTAATACTACCACCAAGGACTATACCATTATCTTTTTTCTCCTCCTTTTGAAGATACTCATGTGATTATAGGATCGCAAAATAAAATTACATCCCATAGGAAATATAGATATGTTGACCGAAATTAATCCTATTTTTTAAATTTTATTTACTAGGCATAAGGACTAGTTAACCCATTGAGATAAAAACTATTTAACCCTTTATTTATTTATTGGTAGTTCAGTGGGGAAAGAGTCTTGTATCCGTGATAAAAATGGAACTTAAAGACATTATATTGTGGCACCTCCAAATTCTTTTGAAAGATACCGATCTATTTAACTTTACCATGATCATGGGATTATACTATATCAATGAAGTACCCCTCACAACACTCTTCTGTTTTTTTCTTCTTTTTTTTTTATGGATTGTTTGATTGAAATGTGTCATCACCACTCTCCAATTTCATAACAGAGGTTTATTATAAAGCCAGGAGCCCTTAAACAAACCAATGGCAATCTAGTATTTGTTTTCATGTGGTCAAATAAATATAGGCGCAGGAGGGGAGACTTGGCCATGGAAAATGAAGGGCTAATTTGGTAATTGTTTTTCCTCCAAGTCAGTATTTTGACAACCAGCCCATAGGCTCGTGGTTAGGACCGTGAAACCAAAACGGAACGTCGAAGGTTCGAACCCCACCCCTGACCGACCTCAAAAAGAAAACAATTAAAAAATCATAAATCAAAACACACTAGAAACGTGAGAAATTACGAAAATAACCATACGATATTTGCTATTTAATATTTTATTTATGTTTAATTTAATTTCAGAATATACACCAAAAGATACACGATCATGCATGATATTTGCTATTTAAGATTTTATTTATGTTTAATTTAATTTCAGCATATACACCAAAAGATACACGATCATGCATGAAATAGTTGCAAAGAGTCGAATGTTAAATAGTTTTTCTCTTATGGCAAGTTTGATAAAATCTCCTCAAAATCAAGCGTCACAAAAGAAGATGTATATGCAAGGCACAAAGATTTATAATAAAACCCGACCGAGAAATATTTTTAAGACCTCAAAATTCAGGGATGCAAAGTCTTTAAGCCATAGATGTCAATAAAGGAGATTTGCATTTCACACTCTCATGTGCTTGAAAAAAACAATGCTATTAGGGGCCATCCAATTTTTTAGGGCAAGATCTCAATGTTAAAGAAGTCGATCCAAAATTTTCCTTTTGAAAATAATCACCTCGTGACACTTACAAGGTTCCCAAAATCCGATACCAATAAAACCTCTTAAAGTCTTTTGCTTGAGGGAATAAATGTATAATATGCTTCCATTGGAGTATAATGCTCGTTCATGGACCAAAAAAAACAAAGAAAAGCTTGTTTCATCTGTGGATATCAAAAAAAATGGGGACAATTTTTTCCCAAGCATTTCTAGGCCATGAGCACAAATGAACCCAAAAAGTCTTCAAAGCCAACTCCCAAACAACCCAAATGTGGACTCATATTCATCCAACACGAAAACCATAGAACCATCGCATGCTTGTGTTCATTCCCATGCCCATTTCAAAAGCCATCACTGTACTCCCTGCAAAGCAATGTTTTTGAAACTCAGATTGCCAGGGCTGATCTATTACAGTACACCATGTGAAGCAGTGTTTTTGAAATTCGGATTGCCAGGGCGTATCCATAATTGTACACCATGTGAAGCAGTGTTTTAAAACTTGGATTGGCAAGGGCAGATCATCCACCCCACAAATCCTTGTCGGATGCCAGAACACCTATCCGGATCGGTCTGTATTGGTGCCAATACTTTACCAAAACCTATTCAATTCGCCAATTACCGATCCGGATTGGCACTTCCAGATTTGGATTGGTGGTCTTAAACACTAAAATGAAAAATTTTTCACCATAAACACTAATATGAAACATTTTTCACCAATACCATTATCAAAATAGTGCACATACAATGCTCTGCTTAAAGAATACTATCCACTTGCTCACTCACCTTAAAAAAACTAATTAGAAGGATTTCTTGGATCTAACGTTTTGGGACTCATCACATGATTATTTTCATAGAAACAAGGGATTTTAAGTTCTTAAAGATTTGGATTTAGCTGTCCAGAACTTGGACGGTCCATATTCAATTCTAGGATGCTGTTTTTTTAGACGACAGAGTGCAACTGAAATTCTTTTTACTTTTTCTAAGTTGAGGGCTATGTTGAAGAGAATAAATCCCAACACCAGCTCAAAAGAAACCCAACCATCATCTACAACCTGAATTCTCACAAAATACGAGAGGAACCAAAAAGCAGATGAAAAGAAACATGAGGTCAAGATGAAAAAGCGCAAGTCTATATATTCAGATGCGCATTCATTGAAGCATGCAAAAACAGAAGATCTACTGAAAGAAAAAGCCCAACATAAATACATACACACACACCAAAGGTATGAGCTACCCAGCTGTCCATGTTCAGCTCATCCCCACCACCACCATTTTCCCCACCAAAAAAGCCAGCATCTCTCTCTCTCTCTCTCTCTCTCTCTCTCTCTCTCTCTCTCTTTCCCTACCAAAAAACGACCAGCATCTCTCTCTCTCTCTCTCTCTCTCTCTCTCTCTCAGCAAACCCCCACTTGATCTCCACACACTCGTTCCTCTTCCTTTCTACCACTAACCAAATCCCCCTTCTTTCTCCCCCTTACTTGATCATCACATACTTGTTGCTCCCATGCTTAGCCCAATGGTCCTTAAGGTCTATGGGCTTTGTAACGTCCACCCCTTGCTGACCCAACCTTTGTAAGACCTTTTGAAAGGCTCCACCACTCATCTTTCGCCCAGTTAATCGATAACCTTTCTTATATGGATTCATAGGCAATGGATAAACCGACATCACTGGAGTACAACATGCTGATTGCCAACCCCCATCACCCCACCTATGGCATATATGGTTCGCCCCAGTGCATGAGCAATAAGGCACAGGCATTGATAGTGACTTATGCAGACTTGATCCTCTCTCTCTCCTCTTTTGCCCAGTTGGCTTAGGGTTTTGTTGAGCTATCCCCACTTTCTTCTCAGCCGCCGGTTTTCTCTTTTTTGCTGGATTTGTTGCTGAGTTCCGCCGACCCGGTTTCTTTCCGTCCCACGCTCCTCCCTTACGTTTCTCCCCATTTTTTGTAGGACCCATATCAGGGTTCGAGCCATCAGTGGGAGCTACAACAGGTTGTGATGGGCCCGAAAGCCCCATCTGGCCATCCGCCCGATTACTATTATAAGCATAGTTCTCAATGGGTTGGTCGACTCGGGCCTCTCTAACGCATGAGCCCAATTGGGTTGACGAGAAAATGTGGGCTAATTGGGCCACATAGGCGTGCCAATCAGGATGGTCTCTTTTCAAACTTTCAAGTGCAGCTAAAGCTGCATCTCTCTCCATGACAGCTTCTTCTCTTTGGGCGAGGGCCATGTCTCGCTGGTTGAAGGCTGAGTCTCGCTCGCTTGTGGCTGCCTTCTTCTCAGCGATGGCCATGTCACGCTCGCGAACTGCTGCATCGCGCTCTGCCTTCACCGTGGTCATCCTCGACGAAGCGAACTCCTTAAGGCCCCGGTCTTCGAGAGAGGTGTTCCCTATCAAGTTGCAGAGTTGCTTCCTGTCCTTCCCAGTGCCATCCACATTATGTGAAGGCAGGACTGTGAAAGTCCCAAGCATTCGTCATGGAAAGAGGGCCAGAGAGAAAACCAAAACTCAAATCTAGTGATCTAGCCTGTGGGTTGATGAGAAAACCTTAATGGCCTGTATAATATGATCCATATGGTCATCATAACCCCATAAGCTGGAGGTTTATCAGCCTCACATCAATGGGTTGGACAAGTGATGGAAGGCAGTTGGCAGTGGTATCCCCCGTAAAGTCATTGACAGAACTGTATATCCCTACTCTCCCTCCATCAATCTCTAGCCAATTGATTGGACAGTGATAAACCCATAGGTCATAGTTGTTACTACAATCATATAAATCCTATTACGTCTTACCAAAATTTCAAAATAGGGAGAGTACATTATGACCCATATGAGCATAGTAACAATTAAGGCAGTAAGTCACAGTTAACAATTTCAAAAAAAAAAAATAAGGCCATAATTATCATCATTGACCCATCCATAGTTTGGATGGTGATGGAGAGAGAATGACCCCCACAGACATGTAATTGAATCAGTAGTCTGTCCCACTCTTCCTTCACTGCCAACTCATTGACTAGACAGTGATGAACCTTATGGTTTCAATGTTGCCATGATCATATGGATTGTTTTTCTATTTGCAACTGTTTTTGCTATTCCCGCCTCAAACATGGGTGGAAATAATAAAAATATAATTCATCAGGCTTTCTGTCCATGTTTAGGGATGGAAGCAGCAAAATAGTAGTGTGCGGGAACTAAAAGGTAAAAAAGGAAAAGCACACAATAGACTGACGGGCCATGGTGTACTCAGTCCACTGCGTCATAAGTTACAAATGTCCAATGAAATGATTGATAATGATAGAGTGAGAAGGCGGGCAAGCACTGGGGCTAAGTCCTGTTTTCTTGCTTTCTCTCTGCCATCATCCAATAAATCATCCATCATTTTATTGGATGATGGAAATTTTTATAAAAAAAATAGTGATATGATTTCCACAAAATAAAGCCACATTTGTTACTTCAAAATAATAAATAGTAAAGCTGAAGAGTGAAGGTTGTGTCACATAGACTTCTAAAACAATAATGCATAGGGAAGACATCTGATCTAGCTCTAGATATTAAAATATAATCTAGAAGATCACTTATTTCTCAAAAAACAGCTATATTGATATCTTATCATACAAGTACTTCATATGCATGCAATATTAACATGAGTTTAGTTCATTTGCATCAAGACGTATCTTAAGTACTTCATATGCATGCATTATTAACATGATTTTAGTTCAATTGCATCAAGACGTATCTCTATTGCTTTTTCAAATCAATAGAAGTGCTCTTTCTTATGTCACCATTTCTAGGCACATTTATCACTACCATATAAAACGAAATGAACTTGAACTAAAACAGGCATAACTCACTTGACATGAATGACAGTTCCTAAGGTATTAAGATGCATCTCTAATACCTTAAAAACTCAGTAGCAGCATTTCTCATGTGATGGTCTTCTGGGCAAATTTAATACTGCCAAAAAATAATAATAATAAATGAACTTGAACAAAAACAGGCTAACTCACTTGAGGTGAAAGAATGTTCCTCAGGCATGCGGAAGAAATTTTGATTCTGAGACTTCGCCAATGGGCCAAACGAAGCCTGAAGAAAGAGAAAGACAATGCTATACCTCAATTCAAATGGAAATAGAAATATCATATTTTATGATCTGACCAAGAAAAGGAATTGGTGCCATAAGTTTGATCTATCCATTAATTTTCACACAACCCACAATTTCGCAGATGTGCACCAAGCAACCATACAAGCATACACACAGCACAAAAATATGGGGTCTGGCATCTTGGCACCAAGGTTACACATAAGACTAAGTGATACTGTCCAAGGTATAAGAGAGAAGAGACCAGTGGAAAGGATCAGTAAGCCATTTCTTGAAAGGATCTTTTTCATTGCATTTTATAAGAAATATCCTACTCATTTATTACTTAATCCATAAAATCTCCAAAGACCATCGACATTATCCTGTTTAGAGCAGATTGCATATGCTAAAAAAATAATCAACAATAAACTAAAACTACAAAGTCAAACACTTCACTGAATTGATAACAGTGAGTGCTCTAGAGCTCTGTAGGTTTGGAATGACCCAAAGCATTATAACCAGTTGACATGTGTCCTACGATTAGGTTGTTATTGCTCATTTATAACTCTACATAGCAAGTAACTACCAAAATAAAAAAGACAAGTTCAGTAAAGGTGACATTGCATTGGTATTGCCATTCTCTAATCATAATGAAATACACCAAGTTTTTGCTACCAAAGCAGATATCCCCTATAGTCCTACCAAATGCCCCATCCTATGCCTTTCCTCAGCAATCAATATGCATCCATAGAGAATCCCTCCCCCGTCCACAGGGTAATTCTATTAAATCACAAGTTTCACGTTTCATTCATCTCAATGCTTGTAAACAGCAGATCTGGCTCAGAAACAAGGTTTCAAAAAATGCTAGGCAGCCTGCCTGGCGCCCAGCGCCTAGGCGGGCACCCCGTAGTTTTAAAAAAATGAGAAACGCCTAGCATGCGTGAGCGCCCACCCAGGTACATCCACCTGTGTAGGGCCGCCTGGGTCTAGGCGGGCGAATTTTTGGTCCAGGCCGCCTAGGCGCCAGGAGATCCATTTTTAAAACATTGCTCAGAAATTCTGCTAAAATTTCAATCTGATTTGGAAAACTCTCTGCTGAATCAGGACCAAGTAGAGACGAGCGAGGCCGGACATGTCTGGCCAAGTGCAAGTCAAATTGTTTCTAAACTCAGGGTAGGTAAGTCCAGGAAGACTAAACAAGTGGCTAATCACTGACTACCATTGGAAAATTTCAGAGTTGCTAATCATTGATTCCCCTGATAATACCTTAACCTCCTTAGTCAGCATGTCTTGTCTAAATTCTAACCCTTTAACCACCTAGGGCCAAATCAGTATCAAGATGGGAGAAGTGGGCCTTTTTTATCAGTGTCTTCATTTTAAGATGGGTGGGGTAACCATAAATAATTTCATCAAATTTACAGGATAGTATGTACATCATGATACATGACACCCCCGAGGATGTGATGAAATGAATCAACGAATAGTACCTTAACCAGTCCAATGTCCATATCCTCTTCACAGCCACCTATTGAAATGATAATCAGTATTACCAAATTCGCTTTGCTCATGGACAACCTCCAAACCCAAGCAAAGTACTACTACTCGGAAACTTAATAATTTTTTTGGAATATCCCTTTCTTTAAGCATTTTTGTTACTATAGCCAAAAGAATATTCATAATGTGGGAATAAGAATTAAAGAAAGGAAACTTGAGTGTTCTAATGAAATTTTGCAATTATTTTGTGCAGCGTTCGAAAACATGTATCAGTGGGTTGGATCGCCCACCTAGCGATCCCGCGTCGAATCACCTGGTCGTCAATCTGGATCAGTCCTTGGCAATCAAGAAAATATCAAAAAATAAAAAATAAAAATGAAAGAAAAGTTTGTGTTATGGTTTATGGTTCACTAGGATACCTAAGAAAACCTTAGACAAACTAAAAAAATAAAAGAAGAAAGAAAAGAAAATATAAAATAGGGGATTGGGGAAGAGAGGGGGGGATTTGAGGGGTACGTGGCTGGTACCAATTCCTTACCAAAAGCAATTTGGTCCCGACAGAATCCTAGTCCAGATCAGGCGATTCCCGAGCTGACCTGCGATTTTTAAATCACTGATTTTGCATAAATCTGAATTTTGAAAATTGATACATCTCTTAACAAAGAAGTGGCCATGTTCATTGCATATGCAAGTTACTTAAAAAATATCACCACTGCTGAAGCCAAGTCATCTTGTATAAGTAATGAAAATATTAGAAATCCAATTTTGATATGCGTTTTAAGACATAGAATATCTTGAAATTTAGAAAATATACATTAAAACAAGCGAGTACTTTTTCTTCCATAAGTAAAATATGTGCAATCTGAATCTTGAGCATATTTTCATATAATGTACTTTCCTTGCACAGCAAGTGCTTTAAAAATTAATATTTTCAATCTATTTTTCAAATTAAAAGTATCAAATTATAAAGGAACAGGTTAAAATAAGGCCGACGCTTTATGGAAAAAATTGAAGCTTCACCTCAAAGCTCACCAAAACTTATAGATCGTGTCGAGAACCTTCAAATCGATCATCTCGACGTAGATCATCATGGTTGCTAAAAAAAAATGATTTCAAGCCCTAAAATGATGTATATTGCAGCACATAATCTAGACCATCCATTTTCAAGTGTTCCTAGATCCACAAGATCTGTGCCATTTTCTGAGCTATAAATTTCACAATCGGTGGTGAAAATGGATTTTAGAGCCATCTTAGGAATATCCCATGCTCAAAGTGTTCTCCAAACAAGATTTCGAGGTGATGCTTTACTTTTTTTTCATAAGGCCCAGGGCTTACAGAAACTGCATCCAACTATAAATATCCAACAAAAAAATCCACCAAAATACTAAGCATATTATTTAGCTTCTTCAGCCCTTTTCGACCCAAAACCTATAATTTTTTTTAACCTTTAGATGTTTTTCATTTCTCATTAAGAAAATACCAGAATACTTCCCACAAATCGACCAAAGGGCTGAAGCGCTTCTCTTCCCCGGCCACACCGCAGTGAGCTCCAAAGCATCTGACAACATTGATGATGATCAACCGACTGAATTTCATTTCATATGCCTTAAATCATATTCCTTTATATTCAAATGAGGAATCCACGTTCATGTTCTTCCAACATTGAGGGCTCATCTTTGTATCAGGAGAAATAAATAAGATTGTGATCTTGTGGAATACTCAGCAAATTTCAGAAGTTCTTGCCAACCTCAAAGCCATACCATATATATAGTCATATGCTTTTCTTTTTTTATTTTTTGTAGTTTTAGCTCCATGACTTATTACTCGTCAATAGTTAATTATCCATAGTTTTCAAAATTATCATCAACCCCATAGCATAATGACGGTCGGAACATCTGTGAAGGAACACTTAGGTAGCTTAACCCCACTGCATGCGCCTCAGGTTCACTTTGCCCTTTAAACTTGGACTTTCTAAGTTATACTGGAATAAACTCCCATAAACTGATCACCCGGGTTGTTTGTTTTTTTTTGACAAGATGGTCATCCGAGTTGTTTTTGGTTATAATGTCATGGTACCTTATTCAGCTAGACCTAAACGAGGTTCGGGTTTCTCACATTAGTTCTAAGTTAATAACTTCCAAGGAAATAGGAAATTGATGCTATCAGTGTTCTACTACCTAAACCCCTCTGAATCTAGTGAATTGTTAAATGATTCTGTTGTTTATTGTAAGTTGTTAAATGCTTCTCTTATCACTCGTAACTTTGCTTGAAAGTGTTATGGTGCATCTCAACCATATAACACTTCTATCCTGACCGAGACATGGATTGACCTTCACTTTCTGTGCATCAGTATATCATTCTAAAAATATTACCCTCATGTCTCACTTAAAATAACATCTGAACTTATGATTTATGACATCACCTCTCCAAGGATCCTTTGTGTCATCTTTATTGACTACTTATGAGTTACAATGTTAAGAGTCAATATTACTATGACTCAGATGATTCATAAATCACCTCTACATAAATCACCTGTAACCCAAGTCCCAAAAGTGACAATAATAAATCAAAGGGGACTGCCAATTCATTAAAGGGAAATACCTAACTACAGTAGATAGGCATTCCTTTCATCTCAACAGACCAGCAGATTACTGAACTGCTCACTAAAACTTAGTTTTCTGAACCATAGTTATGGGTAAAAAAAGGTGTGCTCTGGATTCACGTGTCAATTGAACAAGGCTGCCAACAGGGTTAAGTCTCAACAAGACAAAGTTATTTAGACAATAAAATGACTCAACTGTCGAGCAATGTGGCAGAGTCCATCTGCTCATTTTCCACCAATTGTAAACCAATACATAAGGCAATGTAAGACTTGTAGGAGAGGCATTTGAACCACATTATCTCATTTCCAGGAGAAAAGAAAAGAAAGAAAATACTTTCAATAATGACTACCATACGCTTCTTTATCAAACCTAAAGCTGTTATAAGAGACCTAAAGCATAAGAAAGTTTCAAATGACCATATTATGATATATCAAATGATCATATTCTGATATATTCTTGCTCCTTTATATTACCTTTCTAACAGAAATTTAAAGAACTGTTTTCAACTCATGCACCAACTCGATAAAGCAAGCTGTCTGAAATAATTTTGGAGTTAAAGGTAAAAAAGGTAAAAATCTCACCACTATAGTGTGCTTTTCCTTTCTAGCCTACACCTATTAATTAAACCGAATCAGAAGTCTTACAACCACATTGTGATGGTCATATATTTCCATCCAATAAAATCTCACCACTATTTCTTCTCTTAGTTTAAAGCTTTTGAAGGAGGAAGAGTTTGGATATATTTCTTGAACTATACCCTTGAACACAGATAGGTCCCAATTATGCTGTCCAGTAACTTTTACATTTTCTCCCATTTTTACAAATGTAAACAGTATTGCAACGGTATTCCAACATTACTGTACTTTCCCTTCCAGTCTTGTTCTAGCTAGCCTATGTAATTCAATTGCACCATAAACCAAAAAGGGAATTCCATAAGAAGGATATGTTCAAGAAGAAATCGGGCTTGAGCAGAGACAAGTTGTAGAAAGCACGGAAACACCTAAATACTTACGTTTTTATTAACAAAACAAAGATTGACGAAAACCCAAAAGCATATGTCATTACAAATAAATGAAAATAAGTCAGAGCTTCCAAAGTTGTGACTATGTTGGAAGAGAGAGGGAAAATGAAATCAAAATAATGATTCAAGCATTAAGGAATAGGGCTTGGGTCAAGGTGGTAGCAGCTGGTTTTTATAGCACTACATCTCAAGTTCCATTCCTATGTAACCTTGTCAAAAAAATAAAAAAATGATTCAAGCATTCACCATGGAAATAAATCAAAATATTGTCTGTACAACCAACTACTCATGATGTATGCTTTCATCTAAAATGTTTACTTTCCCAAAAATTAGGAGAAATTTCCCCAGAAAGACATAAGAGAGTTATCCACGCATAAAAATATTAAGAAAGGAACAAAAAGAGGTGTTCAAGTTTTGTGATTGTCCCAAGACCAAAAACTGCTTAAATGATGACAATGCTTGTGACTAATAGAGGACTTTTTTTATAGCGAGGGACCACAAAGTATCTTCTTGTTAAGCTAAGGAATCGCAAAATTGGAGCAACCTTGAAAAAAAAAAAAGAGCAACAAGATCAAAACAGGATGAAACATCAAATTAAGAAAAATTACCTGATTCATGAGGAACCTGATAGTGATAGCTCAATGAAATTACAAATTGAAAAAGGTTCTTCCGACAAACGCTTTTTTAACAGAAATAACCATGTGACACAAAAATATTCTTTTTGAGAAGCTTGCTCCTGAAATTCATAGCGATCAAGAAGAAAGTTTAGCATGATAATATGCTAAAATATGGCTTGCATGCAAGAGTAGGTGCTACAATGTACATTAAATCAATGAAAAATCCACGAACAAAACAAAGAAAGGGCCATGTTAGTACTATCAAATCACAAGGCAAACAATGACTAAGAAGATGTCAAAACCAGGACAGGGTAAAAGGAGAAAGCCAAAAAAGGAGAGAGGAAAAGTCTTGGTCTCCAAATGAAATAAAGGAGGAGGTGATTGTCAAAAAGAAAGAAAGGAAAAAGAGGAGCAACAGGACATGAAGACCAATGTTACCGGATGCCTGCATAATCCAGATGAGAGGATAGCTAATATATATGCTGACTCCTCTAATTGATGAAGATCCACAATACAACACAATTAAAACCAAGGTGGGGCTCAATTAACATAAAGACAAGAATACCAGTAATACAAATGGACACATGACATATGGAATAAATCTCCCAGGACAACATGCCAAACTTTTTGTTTGAAATCATCTAAATTTATGACCAGACAGGAAAGGACCAGACTATGTTTACCTCTAGGTTATGATGCCAAACTTTTCATGTTCATGATAAACACCATACTCTCAATGCCTCAGGCAAACATAATCAAACAAATCTGGCCGTGTCTACCCAATTGCTCAATCAACAAAACAAATATAAAATATCCATGTAAACTCTGATCCTACCAGGATCTTGAGATAAAAAATGAACCATTGCATGCTTTCCAGCACCAATTAAAACCAACATACTATATGCCTGATGGTCGATCCTCCTCCACACACACACACCCCCCAAACCCCCCCCCCCCCCCCAAAAAAAAGAAAAAACGAAGGAGAAAAAATGGAAACAAAACCTAA